CCCCCCCCAAAACTGCTTTCTAGCCACTGCCTGAGGATTACACCCATGGAGTCATAAGTCTGAGGTTATACACTCTGCCTAACTTGACATTCACTCCCCATGCTGATGAGAGAAACAGACACGTGCCCAGGGCTTTCGGCTTGTTAAAGATGGTGTGAGCAGTGTGGGGTTTGAGGCGGGGGTACATGTCATGTAGAAATAGTCTTTGATAATATCTCTATCGTGTCAGTGTTTTTTAAATAAATCTAGTTTCAGAAGATACAGTGACTTTGGAACTCTTACCATCCATAATCTAAACAAAGTACCCGGATCTTCAAATCCCTTAGTAGGGAAAGGCCCTGCTCAACACGTCGCTTTAGGACAACCGCATGTACACGTGCGACTTTCCCATACCCTACGTCGGAAACTCCAAATGAAGCTCCGATGGAAGGATAAGAAAATAAAATCATTAAAGGACTAGATGACAACTAGGGTTTTTTTAAAATAATAAAATAAAAAAGAATAAAAGAATAAAAAATATTCTCAGAGGCAAAAGGCCTTTCTCTGTATGATAGCAAAAAAAATCAGCATAAAAGAAAATACAGCCAGCTGTCATCTTTCACAGTATTTATGTTCTGTAAACTGGCCACTGACGCTGAATTAGTGAATCCTGAGTTGTAACCCTTACAGGGAATACAGGACTAGGTCCCTGGGAGCCTCTGCCCACATTTTTGTCAACCTAACCGTGTTCCGTGTGTGTTTCTGGTAGAGACACCTTATTTACTATATATTGTTGATTTGTTAACAGTGAACTCACAGGCAGCAACTAGAACGATGCCTGAATAAAGTGTGCTGAACACATATTTTGTCCAGGCGGCCCATCTCAGCCTGCCTGCACTTAGGAACCGTAGATGGCACTTGAACACGGTGCTGAATTTTAAACAGTGAAACTACCAACAAAAATGCACAAAATGTGTGCAGTGCAGAATACAAAGTAGAGGGAAATGTAAGCATGCAGACACTTTCTGTTTTCTCTCCTCAGTAGTATGAAAGGTCAGCATTTAATGAGATTTTGCAAAGGACCTGATTGTTGAGTACTGGTGCTCACTGCGGTATCAAAACTCGTCTGCTTTATTTCTTGCACATTTACAATAGTGGGGTGACTAGGCTTGGCGATGTTCTTGATTTCCTCATTAGGGTGAAATTTCCCTTCTCTAGCATCTCAGTGTGTGCACTTAGAAAATTAATAACTGCATGTTATTTGGGATTTCCACTTCTATCTTTAAAAATGAGTACCATTAGAAATGAATTTGGGATAAACCAGGAGTACCAGGGGTGCTGGAAAGCTTTCAGGAGATGCTGAGATTTAAAAAGACCGCATTTGCCTCATTATTACCAGATGCTCTCTGAACACTTCCTTCTAGCTCTAATCGTCTATAAATCTGTTTTTATTAGTATTTTTGAAATAATTTTCCCTTTCATTTCTCTAAATGTAACCCCTGAGCCAATAAAATAAAATATCATTTTTTGAAAATATAGCCATCATCTCTGTAATAGTCAGGATTTCAATTTTAAAACACTCTGTGGATTGCATTTCCCCCATGATTGCTCTCAAATAGTGGGTACTTTTTCTCATAAGCGTTCTTAGGAACGGTGGCCATGAGACCTAAAATATTTCTAAGACCCTGATCATTTACATGGAAATAATATTATTTTTTATTCCCAAACCCTCCGCTGTCTCAGCTGGCATCAGCAAACCTTAATTATGCTTTTAGTGTCTCATGTAATTTTGAACAGCACCTATCAGGGGGAGTTATTAAAAAATGTGACGTATTTCAGAAGCAGCAAACTAAACGTCTTTGAATAGTGCTAGATACTTTAGAAAAATATCAAGCATAAAAATTTATAGGTAATTCCAGAAGGTGCAAACATCAGCTCTTCTTCTCATATCCTTAAATATTTCAGGAAAGGCACTGGATGGCGTGTCTGAGAATTTACCAGGTACTAGACTGTGGAAGGCTTTGTTTCTGGATGGTGATTCATTCATAATACTCTCTTCACTGTAATATCCGTGAGAGCTGATGGATCTGAACCTTTGGGCTGTGTAAACGTTGAATTACTTGGGACTCTGCCACCAGAGAGTGAATGTCAAAAATGGTCTATCTGAGAAAAGAATAGTTCTTTCTTGGAGCTGTATACTGTCATGTGGGATCATTTAAAACCGAGCACTGACAATAGGGTGGGTGAAAAGAATTTGAAATCTTTTTTCATTCAAATTAAAATTTAAAAATTTTGAACAGCCTTTTTTCTTTATATCCATTTAGATGTTGTTGGAGGTAGTTCGTTTTATGTAACCAGTAAGCAGTAAGACTGTCTAGAGAGATAACAGGAAAACAGAGGCCGTGACGTCTAGATCTGTATGTAGTGAAACATGTATGTGAAGGTAACTTTTGTAAAGAGACTGGTCACTGTCCTTGGGATCCTAGGGACCTATCATTCCTTGCCACGGGCCAGCTAACAATTGTGCTAGCATGCCATGCCCTGTGGCCATTACCTTATTAAATATTTAATAAATATTATCTATTTTTCCAGTTCCCTTTCCCTCTTCCGTTCTCTAGGGAAATATGCAAGAGCTGCCTGAAGGCTCCCGTTTTGTTCCGTGCCTACCTTACACCATGTTGTGTTCTGTCGTGGTCAGTTCACATCAAGTTGTTTCTGTGCTTGTTATAGACAGGCTGACTGACACTGTTCCACCGTCCTCCCGGGATAACATGTAACGCGGTGTCTCTCTTATAGGCTGTGGGACTGGAAAGTACCTTACAGTGAACAGCCGGGTGCACAGCCTGGGCTGTGACTACTGTGGGCCGTTGGTAGAGATTGCTCGGAGGAGAGGATGTGAAGTCATGGTATGTGACAACCTTAATCTCCCCTTTAGGGATCGGGGCTTCGATGCCGTCATCTCCATAGGAGGTAAGGCAGCCTGGCCACACGGTCACTCTTTGCCATGAGAATAATGTTACACGGTCAAGGCCATTCTTACAACCCAATGTCCATTTTTTGTGGAAGGGTCTATGTAATTCATTTTATCGCATTTTTAAAAATATGTCAACTGATTGAATTATTTGACTAATCTCAAATGTACTGATGGTGGGACATAATTGTTTCAACTGGTTAAACTTTCAAACTGTTATTGTATTCTGTTTGATGACTCATTCCAATTTATTTATCAGTAAAAAATTATTAGAGGAATTTTACTCATTGAAAACGGTACTTTGTTATATTGCAGTGTAGCCAGATCTTCCAACATGAAGTAGGTATTTAGAAGTTATATTACCTTTTTCAGGCCATTAAGAATGCTCTTTATTAGCAGAATATTGTAGGACTAATGCCACCTGGAAGGATATGTCATTCAATCTGCCACTTGCTGGTAGGCAAGTCACTGGGGAAGAGCCCCACCTGGTCCCAGATTGCACTGTTTTTATAATGCCACTCAGCTCTCTTACTGCCAGAGATTGTTCATAAATCTAGGGAATGTTTCTCATAGCCTCCCAGCAAGTGTGCCCATAAATACACATGCCAAACATTAAAAAAAAAAACAGCAAAAATCCATGCCTGAAATTTACACAGGGAAGGCTTATTTTACTCAATACACGTATTCCTGAAACCTAATGTTAGTCATATTTCAATATGTTTGGGACACTTGCTACTTAAGGGAATCTTATGGCAAATTCTTTTGCAAAGCAAAAAATCTTTTGCAAAGCAAATTATTTGCTCCAATACACTTTAAAAATTATTCTATTTGAATATAGCAAGCTTTATTAAAGCAAGGGAAGGGAAGGGAAGCCTATATAAAACTGACTGACCAGATAAAAACTCAGCATAAAACTGTTTGCTCTCCCCTGAAATAGATGAGCAGTGCACGTATTCAACATTAGATGGGGGCTGTATCTTTGTATATTGAGGCCTGGATGCCATAACCTTGGAACCAGTTAGGACTGGCAGGGGATGGTTGCCATGGAAACCTGCTCTGTGCAGTTGGAACTGTTAAATCCAAAATGGGGACATCTATAATAGTGTCAACAATAAATAAAAGGTAAGAAAGAAAAGAAAAGAGAAGAAATTGTTAAGTCCATTTGGCTGTCAGTATTAAGAGGAGGAATTCTTGTGGCATCAAGCAACCCTAGACAATGCTTAGCATGTTTAGTGGAAAGGAAGTCTTTGGTTTGGTCATTCCACTTAAAGACCTAGAAATCGGAGAGAGGTCAGGGAGGATTCTTTGCTTTTCTTTAGTTTGCCTGCATCCAGGCGAGGCTGCTGAGCCTCTGTCGTGGCCATTGACCAGCTCTCCTACTTTGGGGAAATGCTCCGAGTGTACATGGTCAAGTCTTTCTCCAATTCCAGCTGAAGTCTCATGCCTTGTCCCAGAGGAAGTGGAACAGACTGGTTGTCATCTTCTGATGAAAAATGTCTCCTTAAGTAGAAACACAGCATGTGTTTTTGTGAACTGTAACTACATATGAATGTGAGGTGGTCATTTTCCAGTTGGGTTTCCCATTTAGAACTATGAGAAATTTCAATAGACCGTCGTTCCTATGTCCCTATACATTTACTTCCCTATGTAGAATTCTTTGTATTGACACTTTGGTTATCTTAACATGAAGAAATATGTTTCAGCTTTCCCATGTCTCAATAATATTATGTGAGAGGTAAACATCATACCTAATTAAGCATTCCTTGTGTTAATGACAGAGTACAAAATGAAACCCTCTACTTACTTTTTGAATAGTCCCCGAAAACAGAACAGTCCAGCAAAATTATATAAAAATTGGCACCAGTATATTAAAATAGTGTCCCTCAACTATTCACTTTATGCCAGTGGTTCTCAGCTTGGGATGTTGTCCCCACCCTCAGGGGATGTGTCAGCTGTTGTCACAATGAGTGTGTGTGTGTGTGTGTGTGTGTGTGTGTGTGTGTGTGTACCGCTCTCATCTGGTGGGTGAGCCCCCTGCAGCAAAGAATGATCTATCCCCAAATGTCAGTAGCGCTGAGGCTGAGAAACCCTGCTTTATTTTTTTTTTAATTTTTCTTTATTGTTGCGAGTATTAGAGATGGCCCCCAGTTTTCCCCCATTACACCCGAGAAGCCCTGTTTTATGTTAAACCGTGGCTTCTGAGAGCTTACAGTGGAAGAGACGAAGTGTATGTTTTCAAATTAACCCCATAAAGGGCTCTTTCTTTGGGATGGGACTTAGGGGAACAGTCTAAAGCTTAGTGAGATAAAGCGATTAGTCAAAGATCACAAGGCTAGTTACTGACAGATGGAGGACAACACACACTGTTGTCCTGCTCTTCAGACTCCCTTCAGCCTCACACCTCCGGGCTGACACGTCTCGTGGTGCCAGGGTCCGGGCGCTGCTCGTCGGAACAAAACCCTGATCGACAGCAGTGCAAAGGTGCCTGCTGGATGATCTTCCTTTCACAGCTGTATCTATGTAATAATCTCGCTTCAGACAGTTACTGTCTCTGTGCCAGGTAAACTATAGGAATTTATTTGCCCTAAACCACTACCAATAGCTGGAGTGTGGTGAGGGTTATAGGACCGGTTTCACTCTCTTGCCCTCATGACTGGTACATATGAGCAGCAATGTCCAGACTTCCCTTGGGACTAACTGACTTAGTCCCAAGTGACTAACTGAGATATGTGGTAGGCCCACGTGTGGAAAAATAATTTGATGTTTTCTCGTAGCACAGTATTGTGATTAAACTCCCCTAGGAGCTAACAAATGAACACTTCCTATATATTTTTTATTAAAAGTTGCCTAATACCACACTTAAGATTAGATAAAGACAGTCCTGCTTGACTCTAACTCTAACTTTGCAGGGATTGAAAGTAAAAATGATGACCTACAAGTTGACTTTTTAAAAATATACACAACCATTTTATAGGACATTAATGTTATTAAAAATGGTAAGCAATCGTTTGGACTTGAGCTTGGCTGGCTTATCTTTGCATTATCTAAACAGAAGGACAATCTTTAACTGCTATTTGCTTTATTAATTTTATTAACACTGATTAGTGGTATTACTCTTTCAGTGCTTTAGAAGTACCAGTCATTCATTAAAGCAATGAATTACTTCATAGAATTCTACTAGTAACACCTAACTTAGTGCTTCCTTGCAACTTTTATCAATTCACATTGGTCATCCTCCAGTTGATTGATAGGATTTGGGAGCTGGAAGAGATTTTACACATTATTTATTCTCTGTGCCACAGATGAAGAGACTTAAAGTCCATATCAGTTCAATAATTTCCCAAGGTCAGTTGTCTACTATGTCTCTCCTACAGTTATACTTGTGCTATTTCTACCATATGCCCTGCCTTGTAGGAAATAAGGAGATTTTACTACATGTCAAAATTGTATCAGTGTTACATGGAAAATACTAATACATACATGTATAGTGTAGGTTTATGTATGTGCATACACATTGAGCTCGAGTTTCTTCTTTTTTCAGTTATACATCATTTTTCTACAAAACAAAGAAGAATCCAAGCAATAAAAGAAATGGCCCGAGTCTTGGTTCCTGGAGGCCAGCTGATGATTTACGTGTGGGCTATGGAACAAAAGAACCGGCACTTTGAGAAGCAGGACGTGCTGGTGCCGTGGAACAGGGCGCTGTGTTCCCGGCTGCTCTCCGCATGCAGCCAGCCCGGGCGGAGGCCGCCGTGTGGACATCCAGACAGAGGCCACCCCTGCGGCCCTCCTTGCTCCGTGTGTAGCTGTTCTGTTTGTTTCAAGGAGCGACGTGACTCAAAACGCTCCCACAGCCTGGACTGTGAACCTGCTAGGGCTAGAACTTGTTGTGCAAATGTTTCTAAGGAAGGTGGGGAAGAAAATGGATTCTGTAACACCTTAGGAAAATCTTTTCGTTCATGGTTTTGCTCCAGATCTTTGGATGAGTCAGCTCTGGGGAAACAAATGGAAAGAGTGAGACCCGTGAAAAACACAGAAGGTTGGGCCACGAGCACTGTATCCATCCAGCCTTCCAGACACTCCAGTTTAGACATAGAGCCCCAAGAGCCATTCTCACCACGAGAGCAAAACTTAAATGAGGACGTGTTTGTGGAAACGTCTCCGAAACATTTGGAGTGGCTGAGAGCACCAGCCGCAGCAAAACACCTAAATGGGGACCATCAAGGAGAAATCGGGAGCAACGGTGACGGGAATCCTCTGGACAGCACCGACACTAATGAGAAGTGTGTGCCTTCGGGCAACTTAGAGGAGGGGAACCCTTCTGCGAGTAAAATACTGAGAAGGATTTCTGCAGTCGATCCCACAGATTCCATCCCGGACGACACAATGTCTGTCGAAGGACAAGAGCCAGACGTTTTGGACCCCAGGGCCTTTATGCGCTACTACCACGTGTTTCGGGAAGGGGAGCTCTGCGGCCTCGTGCGGGAAAACGTGTCCGAGCTGCACATCCTGAGCTCCGGGAACGACCACGGCAACTGGTGCATCGTGGCGGAGAAGGAGAGCAGCGGCTGATCGGCTCGCCTGGGACACCTCCTCCAGAGATGAGCCGCCAGTTCTTGTCGCTCGGTTTGGGTTGGTTACCTGCGTTTGCATCCAGTTTTGTTTATTTTTAACCCATTTATGTTTGGTCTGTAGAGATTATGAAATGATCATCTTTTTAATCTTTGGATAAAAACAGAGCCTGGCACCTGAGGCATTTGACGAAGGGCATTTGTGATGTAAGAGATCTGAAGAAGTAACATAAAGTGAACTTCGATAGAGTTGGGGGGGTTGTCCCCCTGAAAGATGAATTATGAGACTACATGTATATTGTTTTTCAGTATTATAAACTTATTTTAAAATATTCTGTTTTTAAGTATACCTTCTAAAAATGGCATTTTTATAAAGTTAGAGGAGTAACTTGTTTCTCAGATTATATTTTAGACCTGTGTGCCAGATAACAGGTAAAGCTGGTCCATCGCACGGGTGGAAATTGCACCTTGGGATAAATTATGCCAAGGCCTTGCTTCTACTTAAAGTCTTCAGAAAGGTGAGAAACAGTAGAGAGAGAAAAGAAGTGTTACAGGACTTTTCAAAATGATTAAGGAAACTTGCTTCAAGATAAGTAAATAACAGGTTATCAGTGTCACCCAGAAGTTTCTTAAGGCACTGTTAGCATATAGAGAGTGGACTATGTGGGTATTTGAAGTTGGTATTTTTCTGACCTTATTACAGACAGGACTATCCAGTTATGATAAGACCAAATTGACTAGTGAGGAGTTTTCACCTAGAAGGATGATTTTCTTATGGACTGAAAGGATATTTAGGAAATGAGAATGAAGCTCTGTTTTGGCTCTTAGTATCAATAGATTGTTAAGGGGTAAGATATTTGGCTTTGCTGGGAGATCAGTTGTTGAACTTTTAAAAATAATATCCGGGTATTTATCCTTTTGAAAGTAACCACACTTTGTTAATTATATTAGAGATTTAGTCAGAATCAAGTTCTATTAATTAAAGGTTGAATTTCTGGCAGTTTACACACAAACCAATAGGTTGGGCCTTGTGTGGTAACTGCATACATATAGATTTAACCGTGGGTCTGTTTACATCCGTGTCATGGATCCTGAAGCACAGATATACTTAGGACATGACTAGAGATATAAGAGAAGCGCAAGTAAGTTGACCCGGGAATGTGGCCTCAGTTCCTTAATGAGGAATGGACATTGAACAAAAGCCTTTTTACTTTATGGGCCATTGCCATCCTGGATGAAAATCTGATTCCTGTTTTCCATTAAAATTAACCAAAACAGTAAAAGATTTTATTTGATTTTGGTTTCTTTTTTCCTTCAGCAACTGTGCTCTAATTTAAAATAATAATGCTGCTTTCAAAGAAACTTAAAGAATTATTTTTTAATGCTTAACTGAAAATTGTAAATGTGTATAACTTTCTTTTGGCTGTAAAATGAGACTCTGCCATCCCCGTGTGGTTGATGAGGTTGCCTGGTGGAAACGAGACGAGATTTCTATTATTCAGTATAGTTTGCATTAGAGCAGGAGTGGGGAATGTCCAGCCTGCTGGCCACAGAGGGCTCACGAAATCATTTGGTCTGGCCCTGCCAAGGCAACCGCAAGCGGGACTCAAAATTCAATAAATCTAGCAGGTTTTTTCATAGATAATTTTTAAGTGGATAATTTTGTATGACCTTCGAAGGATGTTATAAATATCCGAATGGCCCTTGGCAGGAAAAGGTTCCCCACCCCTGCATTAAAGGGACAGTGAAAACAGGCAGAGAAGTGGGATATAAATTAAAAATTAATTCAGTGTCTTCCATTTCTTATACTAGGACATTAAACCATGAATATAAGTCATTTTATTGGTGGAAAGAAAACATTCTCAGAGTCAGAGAAGTTCTTACAATTAAGGCTGAGTGGCCTTTTTATTACGAGTGGATTTTCCCTCTCTTTGAAGCCTGTTGTCAGATGTATCTTTAATCCCAGCGCTGCTGCGAGAAATCTGTTGGAAGCCTACCACTTATGTAGAACTCAGTTCATTAGACTGCCCCAAAAAGCTTTGAGCCACCCTGTATGAGCATCTTCCTACACACACACACACACACACACACACACACACACACACACACACACACTTTGTAGAAAACGATTCTCTAGAATGGTTCTTGAGAAAAACATATCTTCACATAACTTTGACAGGGCTGTAAATTAAAAACCATTAATAATAGCAATCTTTCCCTCTTCATGTGCTCAGCACAGAATTCTATGCATCCAGACCTCATTTTGTATGCAAATATTTAATTTCGTGGTTGATATAATCTCTTTGGTATATTCATGTGGAAAGCACTCTTAAATCTAACTTCTGCCTTTGGATATATATCCATATATATCATATATCTCCAATATATGTACATAGCCATGGAAGAGCCTAATGTAAGTTTCTCGATCACTTAAAAATCTTTAAAATTGTCCTCCAAAGGAATTCCAAGTCATAGTGAGTTTAAATGTCCACAGGTTACTTGTGAGTGTTCGTTTTGCCTTAACTGGCTTGATTATAGATCTTGCTGCTCTATCTGAAATAATCTGAAAGCTCAGAGTCCATCATTAATACTGGTCCAGCAGTGCCTTTTCTGTTCCTTCTCTTTTACTTGCCAGCGGAGTCCCACGATCAAAAGTAGAAGGTAGCGTCTGGGGGATTGTCAGAATGTTTTTACAAACCTTTGCTGGCTTACTGATGCCTCACTGGCTTCTCTGAGGAATTCCATGTAAACAGTCAAATAATTTGGGGAAAGTGCATTACATGGAAAAGGTTGCAATCAAAATAACATTATGGTGGGAACCATGCAAGAGGCCCATTAAAATTATTTTTAAATTGTCACTACAGTGATGAAATGACACCAGCATGTTGTAGTAGATAGCAGGCCATCTAACAAATACCTTGGGGCACCATACTGGGCCTCCTTTCTCGTCGCTCATCCTTCTGCAGGATGCTGTGCAATTCTTGTCTCTAGTTTGCCTTTCTGTGTCCTTGCAAATTCTAAATGTCAAGAGTTCCTCTGCATTTTAACTGAGCATCAGTTGAATGGGCCAATATTGGAGGTAATCCAGACAGAGAAAAATCCAGCTATAAATCAGCTGGAAACAACCATGTACTTGTATATTAATGGCCACAAAAAGGCATAAACTGGTGGATATTTTTTATAAAAATAAATGGGTTCCAAGGAGGACAGAGGGTCTAACCCAGGTGTTGAACTTGGTGGAGGAGCTTAGAAGTGAGCTGTGAGCACCCACTTTAGGAGGGACGCGGAGCGGGTGTAAACACTGGCCAAGCCGCTACAGTCTAGGAAGAACAAATTAGGGCAGGCCGGAGCTTTTGTCTCCTACTGTGTAGAAAATCTGAAATATATCGATAACAGCAGCTAACTTTCCGTAATATCTAACACTTATTTTATCTGTCGTCCTCACCACAGTCCTCTGAGATAAGCATATTTATTGCTCCCATTTTGCAGATGTGGAAAACTGAGGCAGAAAGAAATGAAATTGCCCAGACTCACAGTCACACCCATAGTTAAGTATCACACATCTAGTAAGGGGTGGGGCTGGGATTCAAACCCAGCCCGTCCGACCCCCAGCCAGTGCTCTCAACCACAACACTATGTACGCCCAGTCACAGTACTAGATGGACTATAAGAGCCTTTCAAGGTGATTATCCTCTTTACAAATGAGCTTTAGCAAGGTTAAGCAAAGACTACACAGCTAGACAATAATTCCATAGCTGTCCCATACATATTTTCCCCCATCTTTTATATTTATTTTTTTCACTTGCAAGTCTGTTTCAATTTTATTTCAATTGGAAAAAAAAAAAAATAGTCTTGGTCACAAAATGTTGGGCGATTGCTTTTCTCCAACTCTTCAATCCTTTAATAGGTGAGCCCATTTTATAGGCGAGAAGTTTGAGGGCTATTCAGATATTTCATTCATTCCACTTATTTACTGAACCCTGCAAATTCCCAGATACATAGGATATAAGTCAATGAATATCTACTACCAAGTCATATTGTTGAGTTTGAGAAAAGCAATACATAAAACACCCTCCCTGGAAATCACAATGCATATTAGTGTATTTAATTCCTACCCTAAAGCACACTTGGACTTAGTTTACTGAGCTTGCCGGAGACATAGTGGCATCCTCTAGCACAAGCATTCTGTGGAACGCATTTCAGAAAATAATCAGTCTGATAGAATAAAATACACACTCCTTAGGAGGCCGTTCATAAATTGACTCTAAATTATTTTCAGCCTCATCTCCCGCAATCGAACCCAATTTTCTCTGCCCTACAATCTGCCGTTTTAAATAATGCATTCATTAGAAATCACATAGTGACAAGTAATTATCACCTCCCCTAGATATGAGCTTGGATTTCAATCATTGCCATCACTGCAATCCTTCTCCAAAGAAAACGCCTCATTCCATTGATTCAAAGGTCATATCATGCGCCCATCCAGCAGATGGAAAAACCATGGGAGTGAAAGGGAATTACAGGAGCATCGGCAGACCCCAAACCAGAGCGCTCAGCTCCTCTCATCCCAGCCTTAATTCATTTTGATTACTGCTTTGATGCTATAGACCCCATATTTGCACCTCAGTTATCTACAAAACGAGTCAGAGTATTTTAAAAAGAACTCTCACGACCCAAGAATTAAAATTATAATGCAAACAGAAAGCATTAGGCATGGCATAGAGAACACAAACACAGAAACCTGAGAAAGCTAATCAGAGAGAAAAGACTAACTGTGAATTGTCCTATTTTTGGTTCCCCACAGGTCCCACAGTGTGTGACGCATTAGTAGGGATGTGCACCATTTCAGTTTTAACACATATGCTGTCCCCTCTAGATCTGGCTCTTCCCCACCGGTCATGCACAAGAAATCACTTTATCTGGGTGAGATTCGAACTCTAATATAATCTATATAACCAATCCGATGGACCACTAGTGAGGGTCAATTGTCAAATTGGATCCCTCATTCGGAAATTACATATTTATTTTGTCTTTTCTTCAACTAGAGCTGGGAAATAAAGTTTCCCCAAACCCAATTAATTATTAATGAATCCATATGAAACAATATATTTTCTCTACACGGAACATTTCTTTTTCTCTGCTTGTTACCTCTGTAGAGAAAAGACAGTGGGTCACAGCAGTTCCTCTGCAGCCAGTGTTGAATGTTGAATTCCCCGAAGAAATTACGTTAATATCTATGGTCACTTAGCAGGAATATGGTTGAATGACGGGCATTCCTCTAGTGAGCTAATCAGACCGCTACCATTAGATTTTTATTTACGTATGTAGTGCATTAGGTAAGGACTGCTTTTCTACTCTGTTTACACAGAACCCTGGCACTACTTAAGTCTCACTCTGGGCCCCAGTTAGACTTCTGAGACACTTTGAATATGTATACGGAAAATGTCCCATTTTCTTTAGATGTTCTCTTAAATATGTATGATGTAAATATACATATTCCTAGACATCTAGTGTTAGCTGTCATTACTGACCAAGAAAAAGCAGTTCTCTTATGCACATGTCAAAACATTAAATTAGCAATTACCATAGAAATGTATTTCATTGAATAGATGTTTTGCTGTTGTGGGAAATTCAAAGATAATTGTTAAATGGTGTGCCTCTTCTGGTGTTGATGTGTATTTGTATTAGAAGTACAAAAACTGTTTTTTTCCTACAATGTACAGTTACTTTAGCTTTTCCCCGAAGAAGATAGCAATAGTTTTAAAAGCACAAATTGATGTAAAATATCTTTACTGTGGGGACAATTTGAAGATATTTTATTTGCATCAACAACGATGTTAGGATCTTTTTGTAATAAGTATCATTAAAATGGTGTAATGTGTATGCTTATGAAATGTATTAGTTTCTTTGTTATGTGTAAGTGTACTTTTCACAAATGTTACTAGATGAGCCGAGTTTTGCCTTCATCGCCACCCAGAGTGTGAAAGGACAGTGCCATCCTCTGTCAGTTAGGTCAGCCCCTCTTTACCCTTCCACAGAACTGGGCCAATTCGTATTTGAGTTCTATTATCTTTGTCTAAATGATAACCGTTGAATAATAGGTTGTCTTTAACTGGGTAATAAAGGAATATTATTAACTAAAAAAAACCTTTTAAGATGAATAAAGATGTATTAGACTGTCTGAAAGTGGGCATGTGTGGAAGTAGGGTTGTAATATTGGAAGAACGTCATTTTTTAAGTTCTCGGGATGCAAGAATATCTGTTACCCTGCTGCTCTTTCCTCCT